TGGTGTTTTTTAGGAGGCCAGACAGTAAAAAGTGCATGACAGTAGGTGAGTTGACTTGAAATAAAGGAGTGAATCAGTTCCTCTGCATCTTTTTCATTTAGAAATGCTCTTAGCATGATGTTTTCGTCATCTTGTTGATGTGGGACTTGAAGCTTAGATCTGACTCAAGGATCATGTCACCTCTAGACTTGTTACCTCAGATTTAATCCAGGGAGTTAAATTCCCCAGATGATTAAGCAGCATAGCAAAGCAGCAGTTGTAAATGACTAGTAATTTTATACTGTGGAAAGCCTTGTGTGTGCAGGGCAACGAATGTAGCCTGCATGATGTTTCCTGCTTTCCCCTAGACATTGCCTTTATTTTGGGGTTTACATATGGTGTATACATTTTCAGTCTGAAATAAAAGTCACTGATTGCACTCACAGTAACTTCTTTTACATATACTGGCAATGGAAGCCATTACAAACTTGTTTTATAAACTATGCTATTAAAATGAAGAAGTCCTCTTGATCAGGAGTCAAGTGAATCAGCAATGTGATGCAACTTTCACAGTAGCTAAGCTCAGGGTAATTTACACAAAGCACTCAGTAAATGCTGAGAACTTAGAAAGTACAAAGGGAAGTTGGTTGGTTGGATTCTGCAGGGTTCTCATATACAAATGTCAGAGTAAAATTAGATGACACTTGATGTGACAGTACACTGCCAAAGTCCCACAGCTGCTCTGCTAAACAGTGAGTAAGTTTTCTGAGTATTGTTTCACTTGGATTGCATTTCCTGATCTAATTTATGTTAATTTAAACGTCACCATTTTTTAAATAAATAATTTTCACTGAAAGGCCCTATACATGTGTGCATGTCCACACAAAGTTTCTAAGGTTCATTGGAGAACTGATACAAGCCTGGCAGAACATGGTGCTGACAGTCTTTTATCAGGTTAGTTGCCCATGTGTTGTTTTATATGGAACATACATATTTGTTAAATTTATTTTCCAAAAGTCATTGAGAGGCAAAAAATAGTAATTTCTAATTTTCCTGTAACAGCTCATCTCTTGATGATGGCAATGCCAGTGACGACTCAAGAAATGGAATTCAGACCTATTGAAAGTGAATGTAAGTGTGTCACTTTAGGACAAACCAACCATTAGAAAGGAGATACATACATACATGACCTTGCCCATTTATTTCAATACTGATGCAAGTAAATTCTCCCTGATGAAATTATTTCATATTCGATGTCTTGAAAATTGGACATGGCAATCTAACCCTCAGGCTTATCACCTGTTTTGAAGAAAGAAATGCAGTATGAAGTTGCAGGGTTAATTTTAAGACTATCAGCAGAAGTAGATGAATTAGATATGTAGGTTATCTGCTGTGTCTTTGTGCATCATGTATTACTCATAGGTTATATTTGGCCTGATTTTTGCACTGTCAGATGGTGGTGACACACAACATGAACAACTATTTCCCTCTCATGCAGTGTGCTTTTCTACATTGTTTCTGAGTTATGAGCAATCTTCAGCCTCAACAGTTGGGATTTAGTCTGCTAAAGTACAAACATATAGTTGTACTTAAAAAAAACACTGAATTTTATGATCTTGCTCAGGATTGTTTTCATGTGTGTGGTCTCAAATCATCAGCCCCTGTAACAAGTTCAACTAAACAGGTGCCACCAGGTTTTACTCTTGGTCCATTAGTATTTATGATCTATGTCAGATGTGGTTACCACAAAGTGATTTTCCACCTTATTCATGTCACATATTTTAACCCTTGACCCTTCTCATGAAAGCTGAGAAGTTGGGTCAAGGCAGATGTAGGCTGAGTTTGACAATGCAGAGGTTAGCCTGACAATCTCAGTCTGATATGTCCTAAAATGGTCACTGTATTATCATACACCAAAAGCAGTTTAGGTTTGTCATTGTATTATTACAGAAGATAAATAAAATGCTGATCATCAAAGTATTTAGAAAATATAGGCAAGTTTTTATTCCCAAGAAGAGAATAATGGCCTACAATTTTTGTTTAAAACTGTATTAAATGCCTGCAAATATGACATCTCAACTTCAAAGCCACTGTTCACCAGACTAGATCTAGAGACTGTCCAACTTCAGATACCCCAGGAGTAAATAAAGAAATGACAAGACATCTTGCACTTGCATTGTAAGACTATGATGGACTGAATTTAATTATAAAAACATAATGGTCTCATCCCATTGGGCTATGGACCTATTTTAAGAGTTTTTTGGTTGTTGACTCTCTTACAAAAGAGATTATTTGACAAAATGATATACAATACATAATAAATATATTTGTCATTTGTGCAGTGAAAAAAACCTGAGTAATCTCATTTTTCTTTTAACCACAGACACACCATTAGTTCCCATGATTGAAACCTCAAGTATACTACTTGAGGGCAGAGTTGTAACAATAACTTGCTCCGCTGTCACTCCTGCTGCAAGCCCCATCCTGAACTAAACTGGAATCTCCAACAAGACTCTCAGAACCAAATAGAAGAATATGGGAATCGAACCTTCACAACTAAAATCCAAGAGAACGTCACTTTGTCGGAAAAACATAATGGATTCAACATCACCTGTTTGGCCAGATATCCTCTGAATGGAGGACTCTGACACTTGATGTTTCAGGTAAGACCTAATTTTTCATTCAGTCCTTTTTTCATTATTAAAACCATTTTAATTTGCTGTAGAATATTCTAATCTTACCTCTAGTTTGCAAAACCTTTCTCTCCCAAAGACATTATGGTGGACATCAGTCCCTCTGATCCAGTGTCAGTTGGCAGCGTGGTGAATCTGACTTGCTCCTGCAGAGGAAACCCTCCTCTTGTCCACTTTGGATGGATCATGATCACTGATGGCAGACCAGAACTAATCAGTGTTAATACAGCGGTTTACAGCTTCAAAGTGACCAACAGTGATCGAGGCAGATTGTACTTTTGTGGATGTGGAAATTCATATGTTACGAAATTCTCACTTGGACATCAGCTGATGTTTGAAGGTAACAGCGAGAATTATGGTCTTATACGCTTTAGAGTCATAAAATTTCCCATTTAGTAGAAGGTGACCGTGCTGTTGTGTTGCAGGTGATCGACAGTCTGAAGTGGTTGGTGCTCAAGTCATAGTGAAGATCCTGGGAATCATAAAGCTTGTCGGTGCACTGGTCATCTTTGAGTGGTGAGACAGTGGGGCTGATTTATGGCACATTTTCTTTTTGTTTCTTTTAAAAGTCTGGTGTGTAGGATTTAGTGGTATGTAGCAGTGAGGTTGCAAAACTGAAACTTCCTCTGTGAGCCAAGCATGTAGGAGAAGTATAGTGACCAACACGTGAATGGCCCTACCTAGAGCCAATGTTTGGTTTGTCCATTCTGGGCTGCTGTAGAAACAACATGGCAAATTCTGTGACCTGGTCTGCATGAACATATAAACGGCTCATTCTAAGGTGATGAAAATGCAACAATTCTTATTTTCAAGTGATTATGAACTAATGAAATATAGTTATGAATGTTATATACCATTTCTGCCGGGTGCCCCTAAATCCTACACACTGGACCTTTAAAGATAAATCAACTATTTCTCTTTACCTCACCATTTGTTTCCTTATGTAAACTGTGTTAAAAAAAAAAAAAAAAAAAAAAGACAGCATGGTTGAAATTAAACATGTCAAATATAAGAAAGCATTTTCATATTTCATTGATAAATTATCAAAAAAATCTTGAGGTGTAGCCGGGGGGTAGAAGGAGTCTGGTTTGGGAACCTCAGAATTGCATCTCTGCTTTTTGCAGATGATGTGTTTCTGTTGGCTTCATCACACCGTGACCTGCAGTTTGCAACCGAGTGTGAAGGAGTTGGGATGAGAGTCAGCACCTCCAAGTCGGAGGCCATGGTTCTCTGCTGGAAAATGGTGGATTGCCCCTTTGGGTTGGGAGAGAGTTACCACCTTAAGCCCAGGAGTTAAATTATCTCGAAGTCTTGTTCATGATTGATGGTGATATCAAGCGTCAGATGTATTGGTTTGGTGTGGAGTCCACTGTGAAGTAGGAGCTGAGCCAGAAGGCGAAGCTTTTAATTTACTGGTCCATCTACGTCCCAACCCTCACCTATGGTCATGAGGTCTGGGTAGTGACCGAAAGATTTAGATCACGGACACAAGCGGCTGAAATGAGTTTCCTCTGTGAGAGATAGGGTGAGGAGCACAGACATCTGGAGAAAGTTCGGGCATCTGAAGAGGATGCCCCCTGGGCGCCTCCAGTAAGAGGTGTTACGGGCACATTCATCTGGTTGGAGGCCCTGAGGTAGACCCAGGATATGCTGGATAGATTACATATCTTGTCTGGCCTGGGAACGCCCCCAGAAGGAGCTGGAAGGCGTCGCTGGGGAAGAGGGATGTCTGGGGTGCTTTGCTTGGCCTGCTGCCCCAAGACCCAGCCACGGATAAGTGGATAAATGTATGTATGTATGTCTGTCTGTCTGTATAACTTTATGATAGCTGGGTAACAGTCTGTGACTTACTATGACATCCATCACACTGCTGGTGCTGTAAAATATCTATTTTGCGACAACTCTATGAGACATCTTCTGTCCCTTATTTATTTTAGATTAGATTCACACAGGAAGTACAACAAAATACAGTATTTTATGTTGAAGATGTATTAACACAAACACAAGCAACTGTAGTAAAGAAAGCATGCCATCTAAAATGTGTAGTTTTTTTTAATCTGTCACTATGGTTTGTCTCTTCCATGTGTCACCCTCATTGTGTTTAATATATTCCACATAAAGAAGTCGTGGCATACAGGCTTGCAGTGAGTCGTGTGATAAAAATACACACGGGATATGAGCATTAAAGAACTGCTTCCTTTCTGTACAGCTGTAGAAATTCAGGTCATGTGATATCCTCTAGTTGTATGCCAAACCTAATGGGCTTGATGAGTTGTCTCAAAACTTGCGTTTGTGAAACAAAGCGTAAATAGGGTAGTTGGTCTGTTGCACAGATTTCCTGACATTAGCTGACATTCCTGGATTGCAGCACTTCACTTGAAATTCATAAGACATCATTGTTTCTCCTTTTTGCTGTGGGCTTGTTTGGTAAGGCAAAAAGTTTTACTGTTTCTTATTGATTTTTACATCTTAGCCTTTTAAGTTCATTTGAAATCAAGTCAAGTGATATCAAGTAGAATTTACAAATGTCAGGATATAGCTCTGCAGATGTTCATCACTTAAAACACAGTACAGTACATGTAAATAATGAAATGTGTGAATTTTAACTGGAGAAGTCACTTCATAAGAAGACAAAAGCTTAGTTAGGTCCACATTAATTGTATGATCAAGAACAGGAAGTAACTGAACTGCTGTGTTTGCATATCCAGGTGATGAGTGTCATTACAGTCCAGTGTGTGAAAATGGTGACAGCCAACATGTTACTGAGTTTCTTCTTTGTTTCAGGTAAGCTGTTTGTTTAGTCACCTTGATTTAGAAACTTAACTTGAATAATTTACAGTCTTAACTTCATTTAGAAACAAAACAGAAAGAACAGAGCAGACAGAAATGCTTTTTCCATCTGTTCATGTCCTGAGTAAGAAATGAGAAGTAAAAAATTTTGTATCATAATTATTAACAGAATGAAAAATGAATCAAAGTGCTGCTGCTTATTTTTTGTTTTGTTTTGTCAAAGTTTGTTCATCATGATTTTTTCTTTCATGCAGATTGCTTTCACTTAATTTAACCATGAGTATGTTTTTACAGGTGTCATGGCTGATTGTCCTTATCATCCAGCCCTATTCATTACTGCACCAAAGAACATGGAAGCAGTGAGTGGATCTTGTCTGCAAATCCCATGTACCTTTCGTGCTAAATCTGAAGTGGAATTCAACAGCACAGGCACAACCTTTGGCGTGTGGATTAAAAATAACCTTGATTTTGGTAGATATCCAAACAATGTGATTTTCAACAGTAGTGGGACAGTTACTACCTATCCGTTGAGTATTAATGGAAATCTGAATCAGAAAAACTGCACCACTTTATTTTCCAGTGTAATCACAAGTTACGCAGACACATACTACTTCAGAATTGAGAACTGGCCATTTGTGTCAACAGCTGTTTGTGATCCTCTTCAAATAATAGTTAAAGGTAAGAGAGTTTTTGTTTTTCAGTCAGTATCTGTAAGGCTGTATTTATGCACAGAGGTGCTTTGAGCTAAATGCTAATGGCTAGATTACTGGTCAACGGTATCTGTTAAGTTACTATGATCGACTGTTTTAAATGAAATCTGTGTTTAATTTTAAACCACAGATTCTCCTCCGAGCCCCAGAATTGAGATCTCAGGTGATCTGAAGGAGAAGGAGTCTGTCACTATAACCTGCTCAGCTTCCACTCCCTGTCCACACTCCCCTCCTAAACTCACCTGGAATCTCTTACAATACCCTCACAACACAATAGAGGATAACACAGATCTAACCTTCACATCTAAAATCCAGGAGACCATCACTCTGTCAGACAAACATGATGGAGTCACCATCACCTGTTCTGCCACATATCCTGTGGATGGAGGAAACTATAAGACAGCAGAGGAGAGAAACACTCTCAATGTTTCATGTAAGATTTTTTATTGTTGTTTTATGAAGATGATAGCGGGTGGCCAGACACTCGATCTTTTCTCATCATGTACCAAATGTTCCAGACTCTCCCAGGGACACCTCAGTGGTCATCAGTCCCGCTGATCCAGTGTCAGTTGGCAGTGTGGTGAACCTGACTTGCTCCTGCAGAGGAAACCCTGCTGTTGTCAACTTTGTGTGGTTCATGATCACTGATGGCAGACTGGAAATGATCAAAGTTGATACACAGGTTTATGGCTTTAAGGTGACCAACAGTGATCGAGGCAGAGTGTATTATTGTGGATGCAGAAATGATCTCGACATTCAACTCTCAACAGGACGTCAGCTGATATTTGAAGGTAACCACAGACATTAAGATACTTCAGAGTGATAACATTTCTCAGTAAGTGGAAGGTGCCTGTGCCGTTGTGTTGCAGATGATCAACAGTCTGAAGCAGTTAGTGTTGAAGCTATAGTGAAGATCCTGGGAATCATAATGCTCATCAGTACACTGGTCATCTTTGAGTGGTGAGACAAACTTTTCTATGATGTGACACTTGCAGCTACTCACTAATTGATTTCATTTTAAATGTGGTTTGATACAGATTATTATTACTACAGCATAAACAAAAGACCATCATTGACTCTTCTTTTTCTTCCAGCTGGTTTAGATCAAGACAATCCACCAAACCAGTGAAGGTAAGCAAGGGGAGGTATTTCGTTATCGATCAGCTTATCTAATTCAGTTCCTGTAAATCAATTATGTACAACAGTTATACAGGAATTATCCTTCAGAGGTGAGTGTTGAAAGACCAGGGGCTGGTTGCAAAAGACACCTTGAGTTAGGATTTTCCTCAAAATAAAATTGGTTGCACAAAACATCATTAAGTGTTCTCTGTAAGGTTTCCTGAAATTGTTCACTTAAGTATTTATTGTTTTCTCATTGTCTTGGTCTTGTGCTTAAGGAATCCCTACACCATTGCACGAAAGACCCCAGCAACCAAAGCAAGGTAAAAAAAAAAAAAAAAAAAACATGAAAAAACTTACACACCCTGAGAAGAGTATTCTGTGACCAAGAGAAGCCAAGGGATATGCTTTTGATTCAACACTGTAGATATGACTGAATTAATTTTTGTTGCAGTTTCTCCCTACAATCGTTTTCTGTTTGGGGATCAGATTTACTTTGTAGTCTGTGTTTTCAATGATACTATTCTTCCAAGTATCTTGTCCTCCTCTGACCAATATGATTTTCTTATCCTCTTTTCTTTTGCCATTTTTTCACTATCTAACCATAAGCCAACTTTGTGAGACAATAACAGGCATCACAAGCATGAGTCCAAGCAAATAAACAATCTCCATGGAAACTTGTACTGCTGTAAAATCTCTTTAAATGCGACAAATGAGTTACTGTTTGTCCTTAACTAAGGAAACCTTTTAAGGGATTCTGTGCAACTGTGTAAATCCCACAGCTAAAGAGAAATTAAGCCTTTTGTGAAAACTTAAACTGTCAGTCAAACATTAGACGTAACATTGGCATGTTAACACCTTATGAAGACGATATGGTAAACATCATCCTGTAAGGAACCTCTTGTGGTGGTCGATTGCTCCATTAGCTATTTTATAATGTGGTTGTCATGAGGCCTGGTGGCACTTACACAATGGCAACTGAATAGATAGTAAAAATATCGTATGTTGGAGCTTTTTTTTTTTTTTTGTCTTTCAGAGCACTAACCCCACTTTCTCTGTGTTGTTTCATTTCCACAGGATGCAGGAGACGCAGTCTACGTCAACAGTACGGTGACGTTACAGACATGATAAGCCAGGAGGAGAGGAGGAAGATGTCTTGTTCTCTACAAATACAACGACATACTGTATAGTTGAGTCTGTACTCACTTAGTCTCACTGTGCCAGTTACAATAAAGTGTAGATTTTCTCTGTAGATTTGCTAAACTTAATGGAATAATATTTTATGTTTTTTGCTGCTCTGCATCTCGTCATAAAAATCAGCATAGCACAAAGTAACATCTTAAATAATTCATCTTGTTGAAGTGATTCATGGCTTCTCCTTAAAATATCACAAAGATGTTCAGACCATGTATTTGACTTTCACCGCTTAGCTGCTGTTTCTGTTTGGTGCATGTAAAGTGTAAGACAGAAGAGGAAGGGTAAATACTTGAACTTTTAGATTTCCTGCAAAAGTTTTTTTACACAGCAGGAGGTGTTCAGGAGGAATGCATCTTTTATTATTTGTTCTATAATCTATCACAAATACACACGGATTGATGACAGCTGTGTAACGACCCGACCCATTTTGCGTTTTGATTAAAAAAAAAAAAAAAAATTTAAACTGCCAGTGTAGAAGTGAATGGGATGTTGTTTTGAGTACAGAATCATTACAAAATACTGCATTTAAGGCTTTGAGATTAAAGGGGCTAAAATACACCTCTTGTAGCATGTTGGAGCAGCTATGTGTGCCCATGTTTGACTTGTTGAGCTGAACTTCATCCTTTGTGTGTGTGTATGCTTTTACTGTTTAAAGAGGCCTGTGATCCCATATAATGACCTCAAGAGACAGGCAAGTATATTATGACTTGAGTAGCAGGAATATTACAGGATATTTACAGGATTTATACTGCACTGATCAGCAACTTCATATTTGTAAAATTCACCTAATTAATCTAACTAAGAGCTGTTTTTGTTCCATTTTTAGTACATGTACATGCGTGTTTTCATACGAAAGGTAACGGAAGTTTTTATCAACAGTCAGAATCAGTGCTTCTTTCATTGAGTTAAAAAAGTTTCAACGCACAGAAATAAAGTTTTTGGTTTTTTGTTAATCTGCGCCTGACTATTTTCTTGAAGAAAAAAAAAAGATACTGCACATGACTCATACTGGGAGGTATTAGCTGGAAATCACAATGGGATCATAACATGAAGCCTCACATAGTTCAGATTCAAAGTACATCACAAAATAACAGAAAAGAAATCTTTTGCACATGTTTTTCTAAGGATTTTTACAGGTGCTTTTCAAAGAAGGAGAGTAAAACAGTATACTGAATGTGTGAATATGAGTTAAAAACTAATCAACGCAGACAGAAATGTCTATTCAGGAGCTTACTGTATATTAAAAACACTTTTAGAAAATCTAAATTGATAAGAAAGACTGTTTTCCCCCTTAAGACAACAGAGAAGTCATTTGTTAATCACTGATGTACATTTATAACAGTCTATGGTGCTAGTGATCATTTAAAAGTGCACTTGAGGTCAGGGGTGTCATTGACTACAAGACCCATAAGGCCCTGATTACACAGAAAGAAAAAGAAAAATTGGCAAGGTCTCAGGAGTCAGAATATTCATAAAGCTTTGAAATTTGCATCGCCTGGCCTTTCCTAACGATGTTTGTGAACAAGCCAGAGCCCTAACAAGGTAATTGTGGTCTGAGACTGTGGTAAAAATTTGTTTTCCTGATGTAAAAAAAACAACAACTATAAGTTAAATAAAAAATATAGTGCTTTAATGAATGTTTATTTAATGACTGTGTGGTATATCTATATCTAATATGTTCTTAATATAAAATGGTTCTTCTGCCCAGAGCAAGTGGGACAGATGTTCCGTGACAGTTTGCAAAATAGTAAGATAATAATAAATTTTGTGCTTAGATCAATTCATAATCTTTTGTAATTTAGCTTATATGACACATTCCACACAGAATATGAGCTTTAAACATGAGAACTTCCTGTATTTCTCTGATATTTACTGTAAGTCACTCAGCTCAGATGATATTTTGCAAATGTAAAACAAATCCAGACATATACTGTAGTGTAGAGACACGGGAAGTTTTAAATTACAACCGCTAAATAGGGAAGTGCGTTATATGTAGATCAGCTCACAATCACGAACTGATCTTCACTTTGAAATCACCTATCAAAGGACCTCCTTGCTACTCTGTTTTTGATTTGGGCTTGTTTGGTAAGACAAGATTTTGTTTCCCCATGTATTTTGCTTTGTAGCTTTTTTTCTTTTGCCAGGACAAAGATATTATTTTGTTGCTCTTCATGAACTTCAGAAAAAAAAATCTAATAACTAATTTGATCATTTTGTTCAGCAGAACTAAGCTGTATAGGTAAGAGTTTGATTCAGCAGCATTTTACGACTGTGGTGTTAATTAGAATTTGCTTCTGCAGTTGATCATCTATCACTAATTAAACACACTGAATCCTGGTTGTATGGTGCAAGTTTCTGGTGTAAATGATTGCACTCTAATTAGAGATTTTGTTACACATACTCACATTCTTTACACAGTAATAGCTCATGTTTAAAAAGTATCTGCATGATTGTGTTTGTAGGTGATGGCAGCTCTGTCTGTGAGCATTGCAACATTCAACATGTTGCTCCATATCCTCTTTCTTTCAGGTGAGCTGTTTGTTCAGTGCAGATAGAGATAATTTTGAAAAACTACATGCAGCATCATACTGTTGATGTATATTTGTCTATTCAGAGAGATTTCTGTCATCTTGTATTAATCATGAGTCTGATTTCACAGGTGCTTTGGCTGCTTGTCCTGAAGGGACATACCCTTTCATTACTGTACCACAGAAGATGGATGCACTGAGTGGATCTTGTCTGCAAATCCCATGTTACATTACAAATGATAACTTACATAAGGATGGCACACAAAATGTTGGAAAGTGGATTAAAAGTGTTCCTAACCGCGGAATTCCAAAGAATGTGATTTTTGACAGTAGTAAGACAGTTAATATCTATCCAATGAATATCACTGGAAACCTGAGTGAGAGAAACTGCACCACTTTATTTTCTAATCTAATCATAAGTTATGCAGACACATACTACTTCAGATTTGAGAACAGTGAATACAGCACAACAGCTGCTTGTGACCCTCTTCAAATAACAGTTCAAGGTAAGAGAGTTTCTTTTATCAGTCAAGACAAGAACATGAGGAGCAGTGTCTGATTCTTTTTTTTAACCACAGATTCTCCTCCGAGCCCCAGAATTGAGATCTCAGGTGATCTGAGGGAGAAGGAGTCTGTCACTATAACCTGCTCAGCTTCCACTCCCTGTCCACACTCCCCTCCTAAACTCACCTGGAATCTCTTACAATACCCTCACAACACAATAGAGGATAACACAGATCAAACCTTCACATCTAAAATTCAGGAGACCATCACTCTGTCAGACAAACATGATGGAGTCACCATCACCTGTTCTGCCACATATCCTGTGGATGGAGGAAACTATAAGACAGCAGAGGAGANAGACCATCACTCTGTCAGACAAACATGATGGAGTCACCATCACCTGTTCTGCCACATATCCTGTGGATGGAGGAAACTATAAGACAGCAGAGGAGACACTCTCAATGTTTCATGTAAGACAACCACTGTTTGTTATGGGATCCTGTCAGCACATGATGATTCATGTGATGTCTTCTGATTCTTTTGAATAATGTTTATTTCACATTTTCTTCAGATGCTTCCAAGTACACCTCAGTGTCCATCAGTCCATCAGGTTTGGTGTCAGCAGGTAGCTGGGTGAACCTGACCTGCTCCAGCAGAGCCAAGCCTCCCGTCAGCAGCTTCACCTGGTTCAAGACCAGCAATGATGGACCCATCAAAGTGTCTGAAGGAGACTTTTACAGCTTTAATGTGACAGATGGAGGAGTTTATTACTGTGTGGCCACAAATGATCTTGGTAATGAAACATCACCAGAGATCCATCTGACTGTTAAAGGTAAATACTGCGTGAATTACTCTGTAAATTCTGTGTGTGGGTGAAGGAAACTATAGAGAGAAGAGCAGAGAAGAGAAAGACACAATGTTTCATGTAAAACTTTTTGTTGTTGTTGTTTTATGAAGATGATAGCAGGTGGCAATACAACTGATCTTTTCTCATCATGTGCCAAACGTTCCAGACTCTCCCAGGGACACCTCAGTGGTCATCAGTCCCGCTGATCCAGTGTCAGTTGGCAGCGTGGTGAACCTGACTTGCTCCTGCAGAGGAAACCCTGCTGTTGTCAACTTTGTGTGGTTCATGATCACTGATGGCAGACTGGAAATGATCAAAGTTGATACACAGGTTTATGGCTTTAAGGTGACCAACAGTGATCGAGGCAGAGTGTATTATTGTGGATGCAGAAATGATCTCGACATTCAACTCTCAACAGGACGTCAGCTGATATTTGAAGGTAACCACAGACATTAAGATACTTCAGAGTGATAACATTTCTCAGTAAGTGGAAGGTGACTGTGCCGTTGTGTTGCAGATGATCAACAGTCTGAAGCAGTTAGTGTTGAAGTTATAGTGAAGATCCTGGGAATTATAATGCTCATCAGTACACTGGTCATCTTTGAGTGGTGAGACAAACTTTTCCATGATGTGATCATTTGCAGCTACTCACTAACTGATCTGATTTTAAATGTGGTTTGGCTGTATGAGACACATCACCATCAGTCCAGCAAAAACAAAAAACCCTCATTCACTCTTTTCTTTCCAGCTGGTTTAGATCAAGACACTCCACCAAACCAGTGAAGGTTAGCCACTAAATAAGGAGAGGTATTTCATTATCGAGCAACTTCACTGTCTAAGAATCAATTTCACACCACTGTCTGGGTGAAAAATCGATTCTGATTGGCTGCAGGGTGTCCGTCAAAAACCAATAGTTCTGGTGGAACTGTCTGTTCACTGTCTAAATGTATGTGCTGGCTACATAATAGTATCAGCCTCTGTGTAATATTAGTAACCATGGCGATAGGAATGCAGTCAAAGCCTCTGTTTGTAATTTCTTTACAACCCTGAGTTTAGTCCCTCAGTGCTGCAGGGACTACACTTTCTCTCTGAACTTTAATGAACATCTCACATCCCATTTGCTATTCAACCCACTACTCCAGGCTGCGGTCGACAGTAATGTTACACATTGCGTATTGTTTCTTTGTGAAAATCTTAATATTGATTTAGGGACAGTGACATGGCTCAATAGCCAGCTAGTCTTGTTGTTAAACATACTGTCAAATTATATCCACTGTGTACTGTTCACTGTTATAACCTGGCTCCTAGGACAAACTCTGGAAGGGACACAATGGAGGGTGTTAAATCAAAAGATATTTATTATAACAAAGTAAACAACTAATTAAAAACTACATATGAAGTGTGGCCAATCAGTAAGTCAGTGATGTAGATGTGAGTGAGTGGAAACCGAGTTGCAGCTTGTGAAAAACTTAAGATTATGATTGCAAAAAGCATGAAAACATTGTTTGCAAAGTGACCATGGTGTAAGCGGGATAATGCCCTGCAAGGTGCCTATTATCAGGAATCAAAGGCCTTTGCGGAGGCAACCATCCTCTGCTGCGTGTTGAACGTTTCACACCTCCATGTTGGCCATTAATTCCTGATCCCTCACTTAATGGCTTTATTTGCAGATTTCACTGGTCACTGTTGATTCTGAAAGTAATGTAGGCTGAGGGAAAGGAAATAACAAAAAAGCTATTTATGACACAAGACACCGCAGACTGGTGAAATTAATAAATAGCTGGTACACAAATGGAGCATTTACTTGCTAAAACAATGATGAATATTGGACTTAGATCTTCCAGGTGGCCAGAGACATGTCTCCAAATCATAATAATGTTAGTCTGTATCTGCTGGATGTGTAAATAGACAGTTTTAGCTAACATGTTTGCCATAACAGCTTTTTATGTACAATTTATTCATCTATAAAAACACAGATCAATGATTACAGAACATAAAACATAAATATGTAGACATTAAAAGCATGACTAAAACAAAATATTCAACAACAACAACCAAAAAAGCTACTATGGCAAAAGAGCTGCACACATTTATTTTTGGCCACTTGGGGTCAGCTTAAAGAGCTGTAAACACAACACTGACAAGTTATTACCTCATAAAGATGATTATAAAGGTGAGCATTATCGTGTGTGTGTGTGTTAACTTTATGAAGGCCGTATTTATGTGGCTGATTGCTTTACTGTTGTTGGCGTTGCTCTATAGTGTGGTTCTTGTGAGGCCCTGGGACGCTAACACAATCGCAACACAACTGGTGAAACTGGTACACAAATATGTTAAAGCTTTTTCCGCTGCAGTAAATTCACTGCAGAGCACTAACACCTCTCTCTCCCTGTTGTTTCATTTCCACAGGAAGCAGTAGACACGGTGTATGTCAACAGTGCTGTGGAGTTACAACCATCATGAGCCAGAAGGAGAGGAGGAAGATGTTTTGTGCACTATGAATACAACAATAAATGCACAACATTATAGATTTTCTCTGTAGATTTTCTAAATTTGGGTGCATAATATCTAAGGTTTTTGGAAATGTTTTTTTCCTGCTTTGTGTCTGTTATTAAGATCAATTTAACACAAAAATAATAATATCTTCTTTAATGATTTAACTTTTGTGTGATTCAAGTGATTCTTGGCTGCTGATTTTTTTTTCCAATTTGTTCTTAAGACATCAAAGAGATGCTTCAATCATGTATTTAATTTTCATTGCTTAGCTGCTGTGTCACAACTGGATGCATGTGAAGTGTATTAAATAAAAATAAAAAAAATTATTAAAAAGACAGAAATATTTGAACTCTTAGATTTTCTTCAAGGAAACTTAAAAAATTAATCCTATGGGCAGGCAGGGCTTTTTCAAAAGGTTTTTGTAATAGAATTTTAAAAATCTGCATATGTAGAAATTAATGCGATATTTAGGACACCAAAAAGATGTTTAGACTATGAATTTAATTATCACTGTGTATATGGTGTTTCTATTGGATGCATTTAAAGTGTGTTGTATAAAAATGTCTTAAGAGAGACTCTGAAATTTTTTGCAAGGCCATAAAGTGTGAAGTGTTTATCACTTCTTCTATCATTTAGCATGTATTCACACAGGTTCATGACAGCTGTGTAACTGTGTAGATTACTGCTGATATAATGCAGAACTCAGCAACAAACATTGTGGTATCTGTACATGTTAATCACGAGACGTTCATACTTTCACCTGCTCAATCATGTCATTATTGAGGTGAATTATGTAAAAAACAAATGAAGGCTTGCAATGAGTCATGTCATTTGAAACCTAAACATTTTAGGATGTCGTAATATCTGACTTCCTTACTCACAGGATATGAGCAGCAAGGGCAAAACTGCAGCATTTTAGTCATGGGGGTCATGTGATATCGAGCAACTTTGCCATCAAACAGTGAACTGCATTTCTTTAACAGCAAGTCCTATGTCTTTCATGTAACAGTGGCTTGATTTGGCGGTAAGTTTCAGTTCTGCTAAAAATAACTTTCCTCATTTAACTCTAAAATCTTACATTCACATTTTCATTTCCTTTTTAGCCGTGGGCTCGTTGGGTGAAGAAACATTTAACTGAACTCATTGTTTTGTTTTCTTTAGCTTTGATTGATTTGATTGATTTGAAGCACAGCTCTGCAGGAGACTTTAATTGCTGCTTATAAAAAAACAGTGAACTCTGGTTGAACAGGGCAAGTTTCCTGTGTGACAGTGAAGTAGGGAAGTTGCCTTAAACGACAGTGAATGCTTTGTAAGTTTAAGATTAGGACAACAGAACGGTAACCGTGTTTTTGTGTTCACAAAATCCAGGGAGCCAGCTTCTGTCTGTGAATATGGTGACCAACAGCATGTTACTGAGCGTCCTGTTTGTTTCAGGTGAGCTGTTTACTTGAATCATTTACAGTCTGAACTTCATTTCGTAACAATGTAGAAACACCAGAGTAGATAGGCCTAGAGTTAGTTTTTTCTTCTCATCCTGAGTGAGAATTAAAATGTTTTTTAAAGAATTTGTCAACAAGACAGGGTGAAAATATCAGCATGTGACATACTTCTGCTTTGTTTATCATAAATGTTCTCTTAGTGCAGTTTTTTTCCTACATTTTGTTAATCATGGATCTGATTTTACAGGTGCTTGGGCTTCCTGTTCAAAGAACCTATACATTACTGCACCAAAGAACATGGAAGCACTGAGTGGATCTTGTTTGCAAATCCCTTGTAACTTTAGATCTGAACCAGAAGAGGACTTCAGCAGCACAAGCCCTTCCTTTGGAGTGTGGATTAAAAATGACTCCAGATTTGGCATCTATCCAAACAATGTGATTTTCAACAGTAGTAAGACAGTTAACACCTACCCAATGAGTATTACTGGAGACCCGAGTCAGAAAAACTGCACCACTTTATTTTCCAGTTTAATCACAAGTTACACAGACACATACTACTTCAGAATTGCGAACTGGCCATTCATTGCAACAGCTGCTTGTGATCCTCTTCAAATAACAGTTAAGGGTAAGTAAGTCTCTTGTTGTTGCAGCTTTGGCTTTAACAGCAAACACAGTGATCCTTGTCTTCATTGTGAAACTACTGTGGAAGGATAGACAGTATCATTTGTGGCCAAATGTTACAGAAACCAGCCTGTGATCAGTCAGGATATCCACAATGTTCTAATAATTGAAAACTGATAGGATGTTTCCTTATATATTACAATATACACATATTGTATTGCATATCATATTGTAACGTACATATTTTGGTAACTGTTAAAAAGAATGAATGTTACTGTTAACAAACTTTTAAAAGGGGAACTCTCATGTGGTCACTTTCTCTCACTCGTTTACATTTATCATGTGTGGAGGACAAAATCTACATAACTGGATTTTTACACATTTACAATGAAGGGTCAACTTTGCAGATGTTGATCATTGGTACTAAGTAACATATTGTATTCTTTACTGTAAAATGTTTGATTTGAAACCACAGATTCTCCTCCGAGGCCCAGAATTGAGATCTCAGGTGATCTGAAGGAGAAGGAGTCTGTCACTATAACCTGCTCAGCTTCCACTCCCTGTCCACACTCCCCTCCTAAACTCACCTGGAATCTCTTACAATACCCTCACAACACAATAGAGGATAACATAGATCTTACCTTCACTTCTAAAATCCAGGAGACCATCACTCTGTCAGACAAACATGATGGAGTCACCATCACCTGTTCTGCCACATATCCTGTGGATGGAGGAAACTATAAGACAGCAGAGGAGAGAAATACTCTCTTTGTTTCATGTAAGACAACCAGTGTTTGTTATTGGATCCTGTCAGCACAAGATGATTCATGTGATGTCAGCTGATTCTCATGAATAAAGTTCATCTCACATTTTCCTCAGATGCTCCCAAGGACACCTCAGTGTCCATCATTCCATCAGGTTTGGTGTCAGCAGGTAGCTGGGTGAACCTGACCTGCTCCAGCAGAGCCAATCCTCCCATCAGCAGCTTCACCTGGTTCAAGACCAGCAATGATGGACCCATCAAAGTGTCTGAAGGAGACTTTTTCAGCTTTAATGTGACAGATGGAGGAATTTATTGCTGTGTGGCCACAAATGATCTTGGTACTGAAACATCACCAGAGATCCATCTGACTAATGAAGGTAAACAGAACTGTGCTGTACCTAGTTGTTGTAGTTATGTTGTATTATTTAAGTATCAATGTGAACATATACTTAAATGGGAATGATGTGCTTAAAATAGGACTTGTGAGATTTGTGAAAAGGGGGGGGACAGTATGGGGAAGCAGAAATAAAGAGGCTGGAAATGTATGAATGAAGTTTGGCATTGGGAAGAGAGAAGAATGGAGAGAATTTCAGCAACAAAGGAAAATAAGGCGAAACGTGAGACAGAAGATTTTCTATACTGAATTTTGTATGAGCTTTATTCCAATCACGGCTGGTACAGATTTTCACTTTTCTTATTGTACAGTGTAAAATTCATTCCACACTACATCTGCAAACGTAGTTGACTCAGCACTTTTCCATTCAAACCAATGCTGTAGCAGAGGTCAGTATTATTACAGGTCCTATTCAGCACAGTCTCACACAGTTCTGTCAACTTCTCCTCTGCTACCTTGACCAGTGAGTCTCGGAAGGCATATAGTTTAGCCTCCCAAAGACATATACTTATCTCAGAAAGCAGGACTACCATTCTCCTCTGACTCCTCTCACTCCTGAGACCCTTGAGCTCGAGCACGCCTCTGCATTTAAAGGAATAGTATGATCAACCAACAAGCACCAGCTGCACCAATCACCTCACCTGGCACTGCCCTCCTGAGCTGTTCACACACCTCAAACATGCTCACTTCCACAAATACATATGCAAAACACTGTAGAAAGTCAAGCTGAGCCTTACATTAAGCTGGATGACAGCTATGCAAGGTATTAACCTTACTTTTTCACATATAATTTTTTTGTTTCTGCAGGAGTAAAACTACTTGATAGCTCTTCACCATGGGGGGCAGTTGTTGGAGGGATCATCGGGATCATCATACTCATCTGTGTGGTTATTGTCGTTTGGTAAGTGTCAGAAGTCTGTTTTATTACCAAATCTATCTACCTGAAACAATGGTATTTCTGTCCATATTTTTTTCTTTTTTTAAATCTGTGATTTGCTTGTTAATCACACTTGTTATTTGTCAGTATAAATTATTTTACAACTCTTGCATTTCATACTGTCAGTTATTTCAGCCTGAATGCCTTCAATGGATGGAAATTTCAAGGTCTTTTTTACATTCATATCTTCATTATACTATAGTATGTTCTTCCTGGTACGAGGTGGTGATCCTAGTTTACTGTGAATTCAAAGTCAAAGATGCATTTGTTGAGTTCCTCAGGGTTCTATTCCTGGGCAGTTTCTGTGGTGTGTACGTGTTGCCACAACATCCAAACATACACAAACAGAACACAGATATGCAGATGACATGTTTTTTTTTGAGTCTTTCAATATCACACAACTTGACTCACTAAATCGGTGTCTAAGTAAAATGTTGAAACATGTTAAATACAAAGGCTTTGTGATATTGTTATCATTGTTATCATTATTATTAATACTCTCATGTCTTTCAGGTGGTTAAAGTCAAAACATCCAACTTCACAACAAACACAGGTAGGAAAATTCTTACAATACACAACTGTGTGCAATAAATGGGTTTCTCATAATTCATGGTGACTGCACTCATAAGATCCAGACTGGACTAAACAGGTTCCTTAATTAGAGAGTATATGTGGAGAAATGGAAATATGATAAAACATAGTGTTAGATTACACAGCAACAATTTTCTTATTACCCTTGGGTCCGTTTCACAAAGCAGGTTTAGTGAAAACTCAAGAGTCTGTTAACCCTGAAATGAGGGAAACTCTGAGTTTTCTGTTTCAAAAAGGGAGGTAACTCAGACCAGAGAAAGAGGGGTAACTCTAGCCTGTTTCAGAGAGAGAGGTAACTTAAGCTCTCGGTCAGTTACCGTAGTAACAGACTCTGTGAACCTAACCTGGTCGGGACCAGGTTTTTCTCAATGAACCTCGAGTTTCTCTCTGTCTCCGCCCTCTTTCAGAGCCACACACTCCATTTGATTTCCTCATTCATTCAGTCAGCAGGCGAGTTTTGGCGTAGCCTAGTTCTGCCGTCTGTCATTAAAAAAAATCATTTAAAAAATCAGAGTCAGTATTAGATGTCCATTAGGCACAGTAGGTGGCGACTTTTTTCACTAACATGGCATGTCCTTTTGATAACGATCCCGTGGATGAAGACTGCGCAGAGAATTAAATATTCGTCAGGAGATGGTTATCAGACCGCGCATAGATGTTTTAGCATTTCCACACAATTATCTTTTTGAGCTGTACTGTTTCAAGTCACAGTCCATCATCTACATACACAACCTAATCCGTCCTTACATTTGCAACATTACCAATCGTAGTCATGCTCTCACATCCCAGCAGATATTGTGTGTTGCGCTCATAGACTTTATAAAAATGCGCTGTGTTTCTTTGCAAATGGAAGTTTTTTGTACAATGTCGGAGATGCTGAGCACTTGAGTAAGGCAACTTTATGCGGGGCGGTCAGAAAAGTGTGCTCGTTTTATGGGCATCTGCCTTCTTTCTGTTGGCTGAGTAGAAGTTTGTGTTAGTTTAAATAGGCTTAATTATTTAACAGAACATGATATAGATGAGAAGACATTTATGTGTGTGAAAACAGCATTATGTTGGGGATACAACAACTGCACAGTCAAACAGCCACTTAATATTTACTTTACAATGTAAAACATGATCAAAATGAGGTACCCCCATGAGATTATGCCGAGGTCTTACCTGTTTGAACAATGTTTTTATATTTCATCCTAAACTGCTGCCAAGTGCGCTTCTCCCCCGCGGGATTGCACTTAAATGAAATAAATTAATAGGCTACCATTCAAGCAGTTTTCCCCTGTAATATTATTGTGATTGCAAAGGACTACATTTAAACTTATGCATTCTCCCACGCCGTCTCCCTCTCTTTTGCAGCTGCAGCGGTGTTGCACTTCTTTTTGAAAACGTGTGCAAACTCGCCGTATGAGCGCATTAAGATTTCTAATTCTAGTGGGGTGAAAAACGCAGCCCTCCCCGTCCCCGTTGCCATGATGACTCGTCGAATCGGGGCTCCATTGATGCTGGCTTTTTATAGTTGAGGTGCACGCGCTTAACTCCAGGTGAAACTACTCCGAGTTGATTAAACTGATTCAAATCAGCTGTTCTGGAACCGGAAACTCAGAGTTTCCTATCTCAGAGTAGATCAACTCAGAGTTCAGGATTTGACCCAGAGTTTGTTGAACCTGTTTTGTGAAACGGACCCCTGTCCAACAAAGACTGATCATTTTGATGATTATCTTTTATTTTAGCAGTGGGAGCCTGAAAAATTATGTGAACTGAAAGAAGTACAACATTTCTCCCTTTTTGTGCTTTTCACAGAGTCTAACAGCTGAGCAGTCGGCTGTTCAAGAATCAGCCAGATCAACAGAAACAGAGGACATCCATTACGGAGAGATCGACTTCTCCAAGAGGAGACCTGAACCGTCCTCGACTTCTGTGCAAGACAGTGGACAGCAGCAGGATACGCTGTATGCACAGGTCAATGTGTCCAAGAGGTTCGCACAGACTGCTGACGACCGAGAGGATCTCTATGCTCAAGTGAAGAGAAAATAAATGTATGGGTGTATTTTTTTATTAAACAATTATTATTATTTTATTACTAAAGTTCTTTGCATTATATTAAGACAGTGACAGTTTGTATGTTTTTTTTATCAGTACTTGTGGTGTTTCTAGATTCAAAATTCCTGTTTGCCACACATATCATATTTGCTCATCTAACATGCATCACATTTATTTATCATACATGGATATGTGTTAAGTTTACAACTAACCCACAGATGAATTTTTTTTTTGACTCAGCTTTTACATATTGTGTGTAAAATTACAAAAATTATACCATTTAATCACAAGAAAAAAAGAGAGGAACAATTACTTGACTTCTGACAGATATTTTTTTTTAAATAAAGCTCAGGAAGGACAAGCAGACATGACCACTGCATACAAACTGTGACATTTCTTTTTAGAAATAGGATGATGACAAATAAAACAGGGTGTAAAATGGTAAAATATTTCCATTATCTCATTTGGTTGAGCTCATGTTGCCTCCCTCTTCTTCCGTTCTCCAAAGATATGATCTGAGTATTGGTTGTGTTTCCACAGGCTTTCTGTGTAAAGGTCAAGTGCTATCTAGCTGATTTACAACATAAACTAACTGGAATATAATAAGTTACAACTGAGTTGAAATGTAGCTGAAATGATGGCTGAAAAAATGGTAAAAAGTAACTGTATTATACACTATAGTTATCATGACAGCAGTGAATTATTATCTTTATTTATTTATGGGATACGTAACTTGAATAATTTACCATTTAACTTTTTTCATCTGGTGTAAAATTAAAGTACTACCTCTTCTATTTTACAGCCTACAAACTATCAAACTCTGGTACAAGCAAGCCAAATAAGTTGCATTATTATAATCGTTATGTGTTTGAAGTTGTTGTTTTTTAAGTATGTAGTGGACGGAGCTCAGTTGGTAAAGGGTGATACCATGTACTTTCGTGCACCAATCAGAATTTAGCACAATAACTGACCACAAACTGGTGACAGCTAATGGGGTTGTTGAAGTTTTTCTGTGTTAAACTCATAATACTCAAAACACTTTAAAAATGGATCTGAACTGAACAATAATAAACATTAGACTAGATGAAGTCATGTGTGGTGTTTGTATTAATCTTCATATGAGAGACAGTTCAGCTACCTCATGTCACCTATCAGCAGGCTCTTTTTAGCACCGTGTGCTGCATGTTGGTTTCCTCTGCTTTTTTTAAATTTTCCTGCGTTTGCATTGTTAATTCTGTGGTTGTAATAAATGGCACAGACCCACACTGAGGGTTCAGCCTCTTCATGAAAGACACTTTGACCAGACTTATGGAAGGTGTCAGACATGACATCAGTTGTTGTTGCAGTGTTGTAAAATGAGACCAACCTGTCGTACAACATTTAACCACTAGGGCGCACTCTTGGTCACATAGTGGCAGAGTTTACGGTTTTGTTGTCACTGAACTGCTCAAGCTTTTTCGATATCTTGCCTAAAACCGCAGGACGAGGTCCACTGCACATTTTACAGTGATCCAATTGTTCTTTGATGGTTAATCAGGTTAGTTGACAGTTAATAATTTGACCACAGTGCCCCATGTCTGAGTCTGTTTCTAGTTATTCTCCTTTTTAGTTTTGCTATAATCCAGTCTCCAAATCTTTATCATAAAGGTAGCTGCCCAGTGTTGTTGTTGTTTTTCAGAATGCTGGACTCACTTACTGTACTACTTTTGAACATGACATTAAAGAGTCAGTAAAGAAGAAGCAGAATAGTAAACATAGGGCTTAAGTAATTTGGGAGGAAGCTGCAACAATGGGAGATCATGTCAGATAGTTACAGGTTTGGTCATAATTGTCTGTTGTACACAGTGCGTGACGAAACCACTTTTTTTTCTGTGAAAAAAAGATCTTGGAGTATTTGATAAGGGTTTGAGGGTTGTGTTTACTGTTCACAGATAAAAGCAGTGAAGATTTTTTTGTAGAACGTGTGTTCAGCAGTGAATTATAGTGTAGTTTAATCTAATCTTTTCTTAAGATGAAATGCTTCTGCCTGGAGAGCAAGCGGGACAGATGTTGACAGTGTTTTCCTTTATTGTTTGCAATACCTGAAGTACATAATTTTCATTTGCTCAGATCAGTTCATTCGTTTTTTTGTGATTTATAGCATATGACATACTCCACACATAGAAGCAGCATAGGCACAGGCACGCACATGGCATGTGAGCGGTAAATGTGAGAACTTCCGGTATTGCTGTAACATTTACTGTAAGTCACTTAGCTCAGATGATATTTAGCAAATGTACAACAAAACCAGCTGGACTTATTCCGCAGTCATGAAACACAGGAAGTTTTAATTTAAAACCACTCAACAGGGAAGTTGTTTTTTCTTCTCTTTTTTTTTGCCCTTAAGCAGACATTCACAAAATGATATTCAATTTGAACTCACCTACTGAAGGATCTCATTGATGCTCTCTTTTTGATTTGAGCTTGTTTGGTAAGACGATAATTTTTTCACTTATTTTGCTTCTTAGCTTTTTTCTCCAGGACAGTCATATTATTTTGTTGCTCTTTGTGAACTTCACAGAAAACATGATCTAATATTTAATTTGATTATTTTGTTTAGCAGAAGCTGTATGGGTAAGAGTTCGCTTTAGCAGCATTTTACTGCTGCTTTTTTTAGAATTTACTTCTGAAGTTGTTGATAGATATCAATATTTACAACACACTGAATCCTGGTTGTATAGTGCACGTATCTGGTCTAAATGTGTGCACTCTAATTAGAGAGACGCACATTCTTTACACAGTAATAGCTCACGTCTTTAAAGTAGCTGCATGATTGTGTTTGTAGGTGATGGCAGCTCTGTCTGTGAGCATTGCAACATTCAACATGTTGCTCCATATCCTCTTTCTTTCAGGTGAGCTGTTTGTTCAGTGTATTTTTTTTTATTTTTGAAATTCTACATGCAGCATCTTTCTGTTGATGTTTATTTGTCTATTCATAGAGATTTTTTTCATTTTGTATTAATCATGAGTCTGATTTCACAGGTGCTTTGGCTGCTTGTCCTGAAGGGACATACCCTTTCATTACTGTACCACAGAAGATGGAGGCACTGAGTGGATCTTGTCTGCAAATCCCATGTTACATTACAAATGATAACTTACATAAGGATGGCACACAAAATGTTGGAAAGTGGATTAAAAGTGTTCCTAACCGCAGAATTCCAAAGAATGTGATTTTTGACAGTAGTAAGACAGTTAATATCTATCCAATGAATATCACTGGAAACCTGAGTGAGAGAAACTGCACCACTTTATTTTCTAGTTTAATCATAAATTACACAAACACATACTACTTCAGAATGGAGAACAGTGAATACAGCGCAACAGCTGCTTGTGACCCTCTTCAAATAACAGTTAGAGGTAAGAGAGTTTCTTTTATTAGTCAAGACAAGAAAATGAGGAGCAGTCTCTGATTCTTTTTTTTTTAACCACAGATTCTCCTCCGAGCCCCAGAATTGAGATCTCAGGTTATCTGAAGGAGAATGTGTCTGTCACTATAACCTGCTCAGCTTCCACTCCCTGTCCACACTCCCCTCCTAAACTCACCTGGAATCTCCAACAACACCCTCACAACACAACAGAGGAGAACACAAATCAAACCTTCACAACTAAAATCCAGGAGACCATCACTCTGTCAGACAAACATGATGGAGTCACCGTCACCTGTTCTGCCACATATCCTGTGGATGGAGGAAACTATAAGACAGCAGAGGAAGAAATGACTCTCAATGTTTCATGTAAGACAACCAGTGTTTGTTATTGGATTCTGTCAGCACATGATGATTCATGTGATGTCGACTGACTCTGTTGAATAACGTTTATTTCACATTTTCCTCAGATGCTCCCAAGGACACCTCAGTGTCCATCAGTCCATCAGGTTTGGTGTCAGCAGGTAGCTGGGTGAACCTGACCTGCTCCAGCAGAGCCAAGCCTCCCGTCAGCAGCTTCACCTGGTTCAAGACCAGCAATGATGGACCCATCAAAGTGTCTGAAGGAGACTTTTACAGCTTTAATGTGACAGATGGAGGAGTTTATTACTGTGTAGCCACAAATTATCTTGGTAATGAAACATCATCAGAGATTCATCTGACTGTTAAAGGTAAATACTGAACTGTACTGAATCCACTTTACAAACATCTTGTGCAACAGCTCCATCAGTTTTGTTTCACGTCTTCTTTTAGTGGTCACTGACAGTTAGTTTGTTTCTTGTAGCAGAACCACCTGATAGATCTCTACAATGGAAGCTAATTCTTGGAGGAATCATTGGGATCATCGTACTCATCTGCCTGGTGCTCTGGGTTTGGTGAGTATCACAAATTAAGCAAGCTAAAAGTTTTAGCTTAGCTACATTCAAGATGAAGACACAGATGATTAAGTGATCTGTCAGTTGTCACACCTATACACCAATGTCTCAAAGAGCAGATTTTCGACATTCAATGTAGAAACTAATCCAGATTTAAAGTGATGATTTATTTTACAGCACTCTTGTGTGTTCGAGGCGGGTGAAGTCAACACATTCAACTCAACAACAGAGTCAGGTGGGAATATACTAAACTTTTTTTTTTTTTTTTTACAGTACTGCCCTCTAGATATTTTGCACGTGTCTACAGTGACTGTGTACTGTAGGTATATGAAAGTATCTGGACTTGAACACTCAATACACAATCTGCTTTTAGAGAACCTTCGTGAGACAAAAGGGGAAGACACAAAACAAATGTAACCAAATATCCTGTTAGCAACCCAAGATTGTAAAACTGTGCATGTCACGCAAGAGGCGAAAAATACATTCTGAGCTCTATAGTGACACAATATAACATGCTGTTTCACGACTGGATCACAACTCCAAATCCAGCTACTGACAACTATTTTAATGTTTTTACAGAATCAAACAGGTGAAGAAATGGCTGCTGTGGAGCCAGCAAGAAAAACAGAAGAACAAAAAGAAAAAGAAGAAGACATCCATTATGGAGAGATCGACTTCTCGCAGCAGGGATCTAAACCATCTTCGGCCAATCAGGACAGTGAACAGCAGCAGGACACACTGTATGCACAAGTCAAAGTGTCCGAGCCAGCAAACATCCCAGAGGATCTCTACGCTCAAGTGAAGAAAGAGTGAATGTATGGACATGTTTGGGTTTTTTTTTTTTTATCAAGAAATGTAATATTATTATAATTATTATTAGAACATGTTTTCTGTGCAACCTGCAGTTCATTGCAAAAAAATTTGAAGTGTGACATTTTTAATGTTTATGTTAATGTTACAGATTTCAAATTTCCTGTTTACCACACATGTAACATGATGAAGTACAGTCTTTTTTTTCTGTATGTGAATGTTGTTGTTTTTGTTTTGTTTTTTGCACACTAATAAAAGACTTGGCATGCAACAGATTGCATTTTTGATCAAATATATTTGTAAATATTAAAATCCCTCCACTTAATGACAATAAATTAAAAACGAAAGAGGAATAGTTATTTCGCTTCTGACCTCTTTCTTTTTTTTTTTTGATCAAGCTCAGGAAGGATTATAGCAGCAATTTATACTGTACATACAAACTGTGACATTTCTTATTTAAATAAGGTGATGACCAATAAAATAAGACATAAAACTGTAAACATTTGCCTTCTCTTATTTAGTTGAGTTCATGTTGCCTCCCTATTCTTACTTTCTCAAAAGTTATGACGAGTAACTGAGTCACTGGGTGTATTTCTACAGGTGTTTTCTGTAAAGGTCTTTTGATAATTAATAAAAGAGTTGGAATTCAGTGGAAATTATGGCTTTAAAACAATGGTGAAGAGACTGAAAGTAATTGTACTACGTGATTGGGTATCATGACAGCAGTGCCTGTGAATTGTTGTCATTATATATGTTTGGTAACTGAAATAATTTATCATTCCAACTTTTTTTTTTTGCAATCTGTATAATCTGGATTTTGCACCCTTTAAACTATCAAACTGTGGTGCAAGTATGCAATATGAGTTACATTATTATGATTGTAATGTGTTTGAAGTAGTGTCAGTAGTTTTACAAGTAGTGAAGGAGTAAAGGAGTGTACTTCCTCTTTCTACACAGGGATCTTTTGTTGTGTGAGGCTGTGGTCAGAAACAGATAAAATCTAAAAATAAATGATGCACCTTGTCACTGTAGCAGTGGGCAGCCAAACCAGTTTGATAAGCAGATTTTAATGAAGGGAAGTTGGAAGTGTGCTATTTCCAGGTTTAATTGTAACTGTACCATTATGTAATGTGGCAGCACACTCCTATGTGTGGAACTGTATGCATTCATCTTTTTTTTTAACCCACTTTCACAACACTTCCTTGCATTAACTCCTGCTAATCCCCATTGTCCATTCATAGTTCACAGACCTGTGTATTCTGAGGAACCACCAAGAATTGTCACCCTGATCAGACAGAAGAGTTGCATCAGCTAACGAGGCACTTTGGGTATGATTCCTAAATATGGGTTAGGGTTAGTGTTTGCTGCTGATTATATGTGGACTGATATTTGTTTTATTTGTTTTAAACAGAAACATTAAGATAAAATAGAGATAAGACATTAGGACTTAAGACTTTTCCAAGATGATCCATTAATGTGGCATATCAAGATACTGATCAAACAGCATCATCACTACAACGGTGTGCCTTGGGATGGTCACAGAAGGTCACTTTAAATTATGCAGTTTTATATGCAGGGTTTCTTTTGTATTATTGTAGTTGTTTGATTTTATTTGCCTCAGTGCAATCTTCAGTGCAGTTTTTTTTAATTTAATTTAACTTTTATTTAACCAGAAAACAGTCAATATTAAAGTGCATAGGCCAGTTAGATCAAGTGGGTTTTGAGATGGGATGTAATGCTGTTGGACTGTCGAATGTGTGCATGTAGGGAGTTCCAGAGCCTGGGGGCAGAGAAGCTGAAAGCCCTGGCACCCATGGTGCTGAGGTGTGAGGTGGGAATGGTCACAAGACCAGCAGAGGAAGAGCACAGGGAGTGAGAGAAGGGAACTCCTGGAGAGGGTCAGAGAGATAGGTGGGGGCAAAGTTGTGGAGGGCTTTGAAAGTGAGCGGAAGGTTTCTGTAGTCACTGCCACAGATGTCATTAGTTTTTTACAAAATGTGCCATTGGCATGTTGACTTCAGTAATGTCCACCACAGCTGTTGCCTTTTAACTGAAAATAAGTTTATTTCACTACCATAAGCCATCTCTAATGTTGTTTGAATTGAATTTCACAATACATCCAAACGGCCTCACAACTGCAGACCACAAGTAGCCACACCAGCTCAGGACCTCCACACCCAGCTTTTTCACCTGCAAGATCATCTGAGACCAGCCACCCAGACAGCTGATGCAACAGTTGATTTGCACAACTAAAGGATTTCTGCAGAAACCGTTAGAAACCATAACAGGGAAGCTCATTTGCAAGCTCACTGTCCTCACCATTAGTCTAGACGTGACAACGCTTTGTCATCATAACCGTCTTGAGTGGGCAACTGCTCACTGTTGATGACATCTGGCAATTTGGAGGTGTTCTCTTCACAGATGAATTGTGGCTAACACTGTAGCGTGCAGATGGCAGATAGGCCTCGTGCAGTCGATTGTCAATGTTGTGTGCCAACAGAGTGCCCCATGGTGGCGGTGGGGTTATGGTATGGGCTGGCATAAGCTACAGACAACAAACACAGGTTCATTTTATTGATGGAAGTTTAAATGCACAGATACAGTGATGAGATCCTGAGACCCACTGTCATGTCATTAATATGCCCCCATTACCTCATGAAAAAGCATGATGATACACCCATGTTGCAGGAATATGTACACAATACACAATTCCTGAAGGCTGGAAACATCCCAGTTCTTGCATGGCCTGCATTCTCACCAGACATGTAACCCACTGAACATGTTTGGGATGCTATGGATGGGAGAGTAAAACAGCGTGTTCCATTTCCTGCCAATATCCAGCAACTTCACACAGCCACTGAAGAGGAGTGGACCAATACTCTACAGGCCACATTCATCAACCGATCAACACAATAAGAAGAAAAAAATGGTGCTCATACCAGACAGCGACTGATTCTGTGTATTATCTGTGGTATCTCACTACTATCTGGACTACCTCACCAACTGACCACAGTATGGATACGAGACTGTGAGTCGGACACAGCTCTCTGTAGCACAGGGGCTCAGCAGGGAAGAGTTCTGGCTCCCTTCCTTTTCACTCTCTACACTGCAGACTTCACAAACAACTCAGCCAACTTCCAAAAGTTCTCTGACGATCTGACGAGGATGACAGGGAATACAAAGAACTGATCCAGGGCTTTGTGGGATGGTGCCAGTGGCACTGTAATGCAGGCAAAAACAAAGAACTGGTGATGGACTTCCACAGGTGCAAACTTTACTTCTTATGATCAATCACTCAGGTGCAATATCAATATTGTTAAACTAATAACTTCATATTATATTTTGATTCTTTTTTATGCTTCCTTTTTATATTGCTTTGTGTTTTTATAGAGTTTGCTTATATTACTGCTCTTGTTTTTGTACAGTTAAATTATTTTACGTACTTATATATTGCTTTGGATTTTATTCTTGTCTAGTGATGCTTCCTGTTTGCACTTTCCCTTTGCTGCTGTAGCTTATCTGTATCGTATCATATCGTATCTTATCTTATTATATAAGGAGAAGTGCTCACAAAGATGGATTTTACAAATTTCTGACCAGACTTTGAGAGAAATAAGTCTTTTGTGTCAAAAAACTCTCAGACCTTTAATTTAGATTATATGTATGTATTTATTATCATACTCTTCACTGTTTTCCAGATGGCAGCAAGGTGAAAAGTCCATGGGAGGGGTCATTAATGATCTCGGAGGTCCTGTTTGTGCAGTGTTTTGTGTAAATGTCATGAATGGAGGGGAGAGAGCCCAATAATGAACTCTGCTGACCTTGACTTTTAATCTAATCTTTTCCTAATAAAAAATGTTTCTTCTTTTTTTTTTTTTTTTTTTTTTTTTTTTTTTTTTTTTTTTTTTTTTTTTTTTTTTTGTTTATTATTTTTTTTTACTCAAATCAATTCTTTTTTGTGATTTACAATACAAAGGCATAGTATATAGGATATGATGCTAAACGTGAAAACTTCCTGTGTTGGTCTGATATTAAAGGCCCAGTGTGTAAAATGGGTTGAAAACAGTGACATCAGTGGTCAAATTCTAGATTGCAGGGCTCACTCGCTCACCCCTCCTGTCGGGTAAATGACGGCGGCCTCGTAGGAACAAAAAGCCTTGCGCATGACTTTTTCAGGAGTAGGTCTATCTAGCGACGAGGTGAATGTTTATTTAGAAATCTAAACCATGTTACGATATTGTAATAAATCCCTCACGAGCAGGAGACCAGAGGAGCGTTCGGGAAAAAGGCCTGTTTATTTGAGCACTCCAGAAACTCCGGTAACACTCCACTCCATTCCAAACTCTGACTCTTCTAGCGTAACACACACACTTCATACACACATACTCGTTTACCATTCCGAGTGGGGACCCCCCTCCCCTCTCTGCTCCACCAATCTCCAGCCCGCACACTGACTGACAGCGTAGCCGGTAAACAGAGCTCAGCTGTTTATTTAGCCTAGCAATATCTCCAGACTATAGTAGCTGCAATGGACGACTTTGAACGCGACTTTGAAGAGTTTCTTGTAGCTGACACAGACCCAGAGCCATACCTGTTTGAGCCGGAGCATACAGATGAGGAACTCCATGTGTTTGATGCTGAGCGGGCGAGAAGAGGGGCTGAATGCACAGAATGGGATTCGGTGCTACTGCTACCATCGTTGGGGAGATATATCATCAGGAGGAAAAGCGCCGCAGAGAGTGCATCACAAGGAGTGAAGTTGCGTCTTCTTTTCCTCGCAGATGACGGTTCAGGTTCATTCTCTCCTGTTGCGTGGTAAGTGTGGTCCATTTGCAAACTTTATAACTAAAGTATACTATATACTTTATACTTTATACTATATACTGGCGGTACAAGATGGCGACCTCTCTAAAGCAAGGCCCTTGATATATATATATATATATAAAAGCATAATTATAAGGCTACAAAAAACCAAATGAATTTTATTTTATAGCGATCATACATTTGTATAAACATATTAATGGGTAGAATATTCAGATTCAGATTCAGATTGACAATAAACCATGCCAAATATTACACACTGGCCCTTTAACTGTAAGTCACTCAGCTTCAATGATATTTAACAAATTTACTGCAAGACCAGCTGGACTCACTCTGTAGTCATCATGAAGCACAGGAAGTTTTATATTACAGCCTCCAGATGGGGAAGTTAGTTATTTGCACCCCAGCTCAATTTCACAAACTGACATTCACTTTAAAATCAGCCACCGAAGGACCTTATTGCTACTCTCTTTCTCATATGGGCTTGTTTGGTAAGACTTTTATTTCTTTATTTTTTTAAGGATTTTGCTTTTGGACGATCATATTGCTTTGTTGTTCTCCATGAACTTTGATCATTTGTTTAACGTCATGGGGAGTGAGAGTTTGATTTAGCAGCAATTTATTGCTGTGGTTTTATTTAGAAAGCACGTCTGTT